ACCATGAACTGACAGGGAAGAGTGCCCTCTGGTGGTACTGAAGAAGAGTTGGCAGGAGTGGTTGGTCCTCTCCCTGAACTCTATTGCGCACCATCTCTGCCAGTTCATCCTCATAGTCCTCTGACAGGAAGGCAGCACGGAACTGGTCATGGAATTCCCTCCAAGTGTGGATTTTATGGCGGCCAACATCCCACCAATCTCTTGCAGTCGCGTGAAGCACATTACGCAGGGTGGCGATGAGCTCCTCATCCGTGAGCGGATTTAGAGCCAGGAAATCCTCACACCTTTCCAGATATTGGAGTGGGTCAGGTGTATCATTCAGTTTCCCAAATGATGGAAATTGAAGTTTAACAGGACTCTTTCCCATGAACCGGCTCTTTACTTCCCCATGAATGGTAGACCCCCCAGGTGACCCAAATTTGTTCTCTGACAGTCAAGGCTGTACGGTGGATTGTAATCTGGGGCGGTTTGGAATGGACAGGGGCTTGTCTTCCTGTAAAACCACAGAGTGGGTTTGAACACTTACATGGCCAAAGGTGGTGCTAACTTTAGCTGTCGTTATTTCTTCTGACAATGTATCTATAGTTTTCTTGCATTGGGAAAGCTCCTCCTGTAGGTTAGTTATGGTAACAGACATTGGGGTGAGAGCAGAACAAAGAACCTTGAGCAGGTAAATAAATAAATAAATAAAGCAGGTCAGTATGATAGTGATTTAACCGCCAGCCAAGGGATGCATTGAGCTGTGTTTGCAGATATTCAAACTGCTTATATGTTTGACAACTTCTTGTTGTTTTTCATGAAATAGGCCTGGCTTTGTTTACTTGTTCATTATGAGTTGTGATTTTGTTTGTCATTTGTTCCATGTTATCCTTTAGCTCCTGGCGATGGTGATGTTGGTCCTCAATCATTTTCTGAAGCTGCTGTTGAATCCTAGAGCCAGAATTATTTTCCTCTAAGGCAGAAGTTACAGGTTGAGGTCCTCCATTTCCATTGATGTCGTCTTTTACAGCAGTTTGAGGAGTTAAGGGATTAACAAACTCTGAGAATATAGTGAGGTCCATGTCCAACAGTGAATATGTTGTGGGAGGAGACTCGTGAGAAGGTACTGTATTTGATGTAGGAGACACCACTGATCCTCCTTCCATTTCCCACAACAGGGATTCTGAATCAGCAGCCATTTTGTTATCCTTTGTTCTCTTTTTCCCAAAAATAAAAATAAACAAAGTGTATAGGCCTACTAGCCACAGGGGTGGGTTTCTTTATTTAGTTATTTTCTTTTATCTTTGTCATTCAACGATATTTCACTTTGAGCCCCACATTGGGTGCCATTTTTTATGTGACAGTTTGACTTACTTTTTTAGGTTTCTTTATTTACTTTTTTAGGGTGCCAGTCAGGTCTCTCTCCTGACATTTAAGATGTTGATAGTCACAGTCGGTTTTAGTAAGTCTGTGCTGCACAAAGGTATATACATCTCACTGCAAACACCCAACATTGAATGACATTAGAAAAATAAGACACAACTTAAAATGATAATCACAAACAGCAAATGTATTTCGAATAGGCTACCCCACAAATAATTAAACAATCCTTCTTCCCACAGTTCACTTTTAAATCCAAAACGTTCCACTTCGGTTTTTCTTCAAAATAAATAAAACAGTCAATTTACCACGGGAGAATGTCAGTCATTTTAGTCAATCCAGTCGGTTTGGGAAATCCAATCCTGCTTTCAAGGTGGTTGGGAGATGACCGGCTCCTTTCAGATTTGTAAACAATAGAGAAGCGAAGTCCCTCCCTTTCCGGGGGACCTCCATGGGACCTTATTTCGGAAAAAGTATGTATTGAAGTCAATGGGGAGAGAAAGATTATCTTTCGATCCCGTTTGAATTGTGCCACGAATTACACATTTAAAAGATTATTTTGCAAGTAAAAAAAAAAAAAATGTGTCGTAAAACTGTGAAGTAACACTTTTTTTGTGTGAAACCGCTCAATGAACTACATCTCCCATCTCGCACCACACACCAAGACGGCCGTCACGTTGGCACATTTCACTTCTTTCTTTCAGAATGAGGCGAAAAGTATTAAAAGAGGTGAAAATCCCTACGAGTCTGGGCATGTTGAGAGCTGTACATACACAAAAGGGGAGTGAGTCGGTTCCGTAAGAGCCAGCATGCGGGACCGGGATTCTGGGATTTATATTCTTTCTAGTTGCATATTTTTCATAGCCTTATAAGTCAACAGTTTTACGACAAACTGTGACTTTTTTGACATGGAAATGATTTTTTAAGATTGACAAACATCATATGTGTAATTCGTGGCACAATTCAAACGGGATCGAAAGATAATCTTTCTCTCCCCATTGACTTCAATACATACTTTTTCCGAAATAAGGTCCCATGGGTCGGAAGTAGATGGGCGGGACTTCACCTCTATAATCCGGAAACGTGAAGAGACAGAAGGGTATGATGACGGTGGACGGCGACCTTTAAACGACCTTACTGTTGGTTTCTAACGGATGAGCGTGTTGCTCCAACGATCTCTCTTGCTGCACACACACGCTCCCCTTCCTGCTCCGTCTAAATATATAGGAAGAATGGAGGCGCCAACCAACAGCGAATCACTGGCTGGGTGGGCATTACCGTGAGTGACTACCGGTGTTTACATTTCTGGTTGTTACAAGATGTGTGAAAAAGGATCTGTGATTAACACAAGCATGAGGGATTTACACATTTTATTCTACGATATAATATACAGATTTACGTTAATACCCCACTTGTGATTAACCAAAGTTTATATGTGTCATAAAAACAGCCGTTTGACATTAATGTAGTTTGTTTTTAGCTTAGCATTAGCTTTTTACTTCTGGGATTTATGCTTTAAGAATAAAAAAGGGGTGTTAATATGTGGAGATTATCCTGCTGAACAAAACAAGTAAGTATCATAAACGTGCGTTTGGTTTTATTTTCTGCAAAAATCAAAGAACCCAATAGCCACTTTCACACCAAGTACTTTGCCATACTTAGTTCCCAGCACTTAGGCGCCGTTTACACGAGGAGAAAACTGCTTGTATCTGCATAGTTTCGCGTGCGTATAGCCCTATTATTTACACGAGGCCGATAGAAACTGACCCCACAAACGATAACGGGTCCCAAGGTGGATAGATTTGCAAACGAAACGCTCTGGGGGGTCAACCGAGTCCGTGTAATCACCTCTATACGAATATTTCCTGAAAAAATAGCGATAGCCCCACCTCTCCCCACCTCTCCTGCTCACTGCTGTAGCAACTATCAAAAATAGCTGTGTTAATTAAACGCACAAGGGGTTCTTGAATGAAATAATATTATAAAAGGCAAACCAGAATTGTTAACGCCCAATATACTCCTTAAACAAAATAAACAGAGTCAGATTTCATGCATTGATCCATTATATTGACAAAGGAGGATCTCACCCGGTGTTTGTAGAGAATATCTCTCTTTCTGAGCGCGTCCTCTCCACAGAGACGTGCTTCTTGGTCGGTCGATGCAATATCCACAGATTCGGTTTCTTTCAGTTAACTTCCCCGTTGCATTTATCCATATGCTGAGGAAATTACTATATCCCGCTGAATACCAGCAATCGCCACACACACTTCCTCCTGTCAGTAGCTACTGCTAGTGCTACTGCTACTGACCATGCTACAGATATTAGTGCAAAATCTACAGCTCCTCTACCACAACCATCAGCAACAAGTGGACATGGAGAATTACATGAACTACATGTTGCTAAATACACCGCGGGGCTTAAACAGAAGGGTAGCCATGGCAACATTGCTGCGGGGCTGCTCGGGCTGCTCTTCTTCGCTGCTTTTGGTGTATTTTGGCGAAAGTTACAGCGCCACTTACAGTCCCGGCATATGTACTACAGCGTTTCCAGCGGCCTCGTTTGAACAGACACGTTAAATGAAACAAATGCATGTGAACGGAATACTTTTTTGAATACGCATACTGTGCATAAACGCAAACGTTCCCGTGTGAGCGGGGCCTTAGTTTCCAGCACTTAGTCAACTAAGAGCCGATCGAGTTCACACCGGAATAAGTTCCCTGAGGGAAGATTACGCAAATGAACCCACTGACGTCACTTCTTCTTCTTCTGCTTCTGGTTTACTGGCAGGCCGCAAATAACTTCACGGCGTATACTGCCACCCGAAGTCCCCGGCCGGAAGTCCCCGGAGTTGGGGACTGGCTTCAGTAGAAGCTGCTGGGACTCCCAGCAGCTTCTACTGAAGCCTTCCGAGTAAATCGCCAGAACGCCGACACCTCCTCATCACTCCACCGCTCCCATGTTTTTTTTGTGTTGCCATAAGTTATTCTCTCTCCGTTGGTGCGCGGGGCTAATGCTAATGCTAATAATGCTAATGCCAGCAAATACAATGGCGGCTTCAAAAAAGATTTCAGAGTTTTACGGGGCGTGGTTTGCAATTCGACCAGCCAATCAGAAGTTGGTACTTTTTTCTCCCCAGGATAGTCCCACCTCTCTAGCAGGCACTAAACATGGGGGTAAAAGTTCTCTGAACTAAGTTCTCTTTTTGGTGTGAACGCAAAATTCCAGGCACTAACGGAACTAAACGGGAAAAGTACGGGTAAAGGTACTCCGGTGTGAAAGCGCCTAATGGTAAAAATCCCAAATGTTTTTTGTTCAGGGACCCTTGGTGCTTCTAACTTCCGGGTCGGCCTATAAAAATATGTCAAAAACAAGTAGTTGAATAGTTGAATCCTTACGTATTGACAACGAGTGTCCATAATAACGTTTCATTTATTCCATGTCAAATGTATACAGTATACGTATAATGTATTGGTGGAAGAGAATTAGTAAGGGTTCAGCTGATCATATGGCACCGGGAGAAAATGGGTTGCTCTAGGAATCTTGGATGTAGGAAAGATATATAAGTTATTTGTTACATGTCAAGCTGCAGTACACAAGGTGTGTCCTAACCAGACATCTTGTAAATGTTTGTGGTTCTCACTGTTGTTGATCAGAGGGTGAGCTGCAGGCCTGGATGGTGTCCATCAGCTGACCTCTGATCCTTTGTCCTGCTGGACTGGACAAAACATCCGACTCACTGTAGCCAGGGAACAGGTTCATGAGCATAGGAGGCACCTGCAAAAACCCACAGACAGACACACAATTTACTGCTTTTAGTCCCACGTTTTATTAATACATATTAATGGAGTGCTGCAGGGATTAATCCTTTAACCCGGAAAAGAGTAGGCATTTTACCACATCGAGTTCCCTTGTTCAAAGTCAACTGTTTTTTTGTGCCTGTTTGGTAGATATAGATAGATATGGTTTTAGATACAAATTGATCTTCACGTTTTGTTTTAGAGCATAACATATGTCAGTAAATACCCTACTTATAAATGTCTGAAGCTTCTATGTTTCTTATAAAGAGCGGTTGCTAAAAAGTAAGTAAATTAAACTACTTAACGCCCTCGAGGCTCACGCTGAACATTAGCCGCCTTTAGCTTAACAGTGGTGACGTGATGTGAGTCAGGTGACTGTGATGTTTTACATTTATAGCCTAAGGTTAGCTTTTCTACATCTGGTGATTGTATTTAAGCTTCAAAAACCCTAAAAGTGGTGTTAATATGTGGAGGATATTCTGCTGAATGAAACGTTTAAGTATCATTGACGTTGTCCCACAGATCTCATTTTCTGCAATACTCCAATTACTTTTTCCGTTGTGTGTTTTCTAAATGCTGCACATGTTTTGACAATTTGTTAATTTTTTTTTTAATTTGCATCATTTTTGAAACTGCAGCGCGTTTCTCCAAATCGAAGTGTTGTGGGCCACCATACTAAAGTGGTAAATATGACTATATTTATTTTATGGTGGATACAATACTAAGCTGTTTAAATATGAATGTATTGTTATGCTATTATCATCACTCTTAAATGTTATTTAGCTGACAGTTTTATCCAAAGCGACTCACCTACAGTTCAACACCGTGACCGTACGGATGCCTACAGGAGCAAATGGGGTTTTTCTGTTGCCCTGACACTTTGATTGTTGACTGCAGGGGCGGGGTATCGAACCACTGACCCTCTGATTGTGACTCGGTGGATAAATATGCGTTTACCAGTCGCCCCAATGTTGTTTTTTTGTAAATAGGCCGGACAAAAAATAGGCCGGACAAAAAAAGGTTTGATGTATGAACTATAATGTGTATTTCAAACATATGTAAAGGGGCCTTTTTATGCTCATTTACAGATTCATATTTGTATTTAGTGCCTCTACTGTGACATGTTTCAATGCTTTAATGTTCAAAAAGGTACATTTTTTAAGGTTTATTTTTCTCATGCCTGTGCTGCAGCACCTCTTTCACCCTCTGTCTGAAACCAGAGCCCAGATTCGCCATTTTTCTTGTGTTAATCCTGTTGTAATCAGATTTAACCCAACTGCTCTTTAGATGAAAATCGCTTGTATAACTAACCCTTAAAGGTGGGGTAGGTAAGTTTGAGAAACCGGCTCGAGATACACTTTTTGTTATATTCCATGGAATGCTCTTAACATCCCGATAGCAATGAATATCTTAAGTGCTTTGACAAAAGATCCATAAAAAAATGTCATCTGTGGAAGCCGTAATACTGTAAAAAGCACGACCAATCATTTTAGCCGGCCCGGCTAAAATAACTGGATGGCCTACCTGCCTGTCAGCCTTCCATCTGTGCACAAACTTATCTCGTGCCCTCATTGGTCATGTGCGCGTTCGTGTGTGTTGGAGGAGGGGCTCTGTAAGGAAGTGGCAGATTTTCTCCGGTCGTGTATTTTCAAATTCTAGCGATCTCGAGCCGGTTTCTCAAACTTACATACCCTACCTTTAATACAAATGCATTTAAACTTGGTATTTACACTTTTTGTCAATTAAAAATGTTTTATTAAGACTCACTTCTAGCAGTTTCAACATATTTTGTTAAAACTAGAGCTTTTAATGAGACACTTGAGCTTGCTTGTCTTTGATAAGTTTTGATAGTTCAGGGGCAGGAAACCAGGCTAATAAAAATTGATTTAAAATGTTTTTTGTGTGGAAATATATTGCAACCCCTAATCTTTCTATGATCCCCCTGCAATGCCCTCAAGTACCCCTAGGGGTCCCCATACCCCGGGTTTTGGACTGCTTTAGTAGACCAGCGAAGAAAAATATGAGTGTCTTATGTGAGGGAATCTGCAGGAGGAAGTTCTGACCTCCTCGTTGTTGGGATCCAGGATCAGCATGCAGACAAAGTCCTCTCTGGCTCCCTTCAAGTTAAGAAGCTTTCGGGAAGCTTTGGATCTGCTTTCATAGTAATGACCCGCAGTGGGGTTGTCCTGGATGGCCAGAGAAAACATCTCAACTGCCTCTTGGTAACACCTGAAAATGAAGACACTCACAAATAAAACATCTAAACGAGATTTGATAAATGTTCTTCATGTGTGGTAAATATTTGTTCTCCTGACCCGTCCTGGAAGCAGAAAGAGCCCAGGGTGTTGTGGAGGACAGCAAGGCGCAGCCGGACAGCAGGGTCATTGGGCCGCATCATATCCTCAGCCTGCTGGTAGTCAGCCAGAGCAAAACACCAGTCACCCTGCTTAAAGAAACAATCTGACACACACATGCACATTCATATTCAAAAATGAAAGGGAACTTACAAGCGATATAAATATTAGGTTAACACTATTCTGCAATTGAATAGGTCAGGTGTGCCAACAACCGTCTGATTTGAATCAATTGATTCCTGTTTTCAGAACAGCTGCTTCTGATGATCTCTATCTAATCTGCACTAGAGTATGAAGAATATATTACATTAACACTGCTGAAGGTCCATTCAGCAAGCAGGTAAAGATTCAAGAGGTCCTATTGTGCATTTCCCTTTCCTGTAGTGTGTTTTCTTTGTATTGGTTGGCCAATCACTACAGAGCCAGCCTGCCATCCAATCAGAGCAGACTGGGCTCTGGTTTCAGACAGAGGGTGAAAAGAGGTGCTGCAGCACAGGCAGTATGAGAAAAATGTGACATGTTTACATGCTTTTTTGAACATTCAAGCATGGAAACATGTCACAGTAGAGGCACAAAATACAAATATGAACCTGAAAATGAGCAGAATAGGGGCCCTTTACATATATCTGCAATACACATTATAGTACATACATCAAACATTTTGTCAGGAAAACCGGCCTATTTGGAAAAAAGCAACTTTGGGGCGACTGATAAACGCATATTTACCCTATGAGTCACAATCAGAGGGTCAAATTATTTTAAGTGAATGCATGTGTGTTTTATATCTAAATGCTTGGTGTAGTTTTGTGACATTTTGTATGTATTATGATTAAAAGAAGCTCTTTATGCTATACCTCTGAAACATTTCCTGTACCAAGTACACTTTAAATGGTTTGTCCCCATTTTCTTTTCTTAACTGAGGAAGTGTCACACTAGTTTTTATGGCCAAAATGTTGAAGTTTAGCTTGAAAGGGACAATTACTATTGTGTTAATTATTATTAGTGATCAGATTGACTGAAATGACAATGGTTCACCAATTATTTGAATTAATTGTGGCTTTTAAACCTCACAGTTTACCCTAACCCTCACGAAGTTTTCAACACAGAAAGGACAGATATACACACCACACACACACACACGCACACACACACACACACACACACACACACACACACACACACACACACACACACACACACACACACACACACACACACACACACACACACACACACACACACACACACACACACACACACACACACACACACACACAAACACACACTCAAAGAACAAGTGTCCAGAGCCTCACCTCCTCGGTTCAGGTAGAGGCCCGCCTGGCCCTTCTCCTCCTCAATGGCCTTGTTGAGAAGCAGCGTGGCCTCGGCGAAGAGGCCTCTGCTGAAGCACTCAACAGCAAAGTCATTGTAGGTCAGAACCAGCTGAAACTGCACCTCCTCCTCCACAGAGCCACGTTCATCCTTCCTCTCTGCAGCCTCTGCCTCACCCCCGACCTCCTCCTCCTCCTCCTTGCACAGCTCCACAGCCTGGACCAGATCCTCGAGGGATGCTGTGAAATCCTTCAGGCGGCGGTACACAATCCCTCTGATGGAAAAATAAACACACACATTTAAGTACATTTAATTGAAATGAATGTAATAAAATAAAACAGTATTAAATATGGTCTTCGGCGATGCATTGAGTTCAAAGTTGCGTGTGTGATGACACAGCAGCGTGTGTACAGATTTCCCCACTCTTATTTCTTTATTGAAGCTTGTCACTGTCTCATGTTGTTCAGACTCACCTGAAAAGGTAGAGGTGTGCATCCTCTGGGCAGTTCTCCAAAGCGATATTGATCATGCAGCAGGCTTCAGGCAGATGGCCAGACAAAGATCTGTCTACTGCTTCTTGTCTGGCCTGTTCACTGGCCTCCTGCAGCTGCAGCAGCATGGCGCCAGCCGCTGGACTCTGAGGATCCAACACTAGCGCTGACTTCACATCTCTATAACATTGCGTTGTCTGGACAGAAGAGAAAATCCCAGAGAAATTTGATTTTGTGTTTAAAGTAGTAGCTGTATATCTAAGATTCTATACTAAATGTACCCAATATAAGTTTCTTTAACCCCATCACTCTTTACAAAGTAATTCCCTCTACCTGAATATTTATAAACACTAATTTACTATTATGATGTCAGTAAGATTTCTTTATTTACCGCTCTAACTTCTTTGGAAAGGCTTTGGACTTTTCTTCTGTGTTGCAGTGCTGCTGCCCCATATAAAAGGCAGATGAAGTGGTTTGGCACTAGAACATTTTTAAAAGGGATGTAAGCAGGGGTCGTGTAAAAACAAGTGGTGTAGAGGCCAATGCTTTAAGCCACTGATGTGCCGCTTAAGGTATGTAAATGATGCACGCTTTAGCTTGTCAGGTGAATAAATGTCAGATACAAATTGTGTCCAGTTGAACACTTTGTCCATTTATTATCCACTGTTTCGTTATCCGTTAAACTCGGATCAGTTTCCATCACCATAAAGAATGACACTTAAACACAATGACGTCAGTAGGCAAGCTTTACCTTATCGTTGTGTGTGTTGAAAACTGTTTGGCCTTCCGGCAGAACCCGAGTAAGCAAACATTCTTCCTTTTTTATCCTAAGCGCTAATTGGCTCCTACAAGTGGCATTTATTAACTAAAGGTTGAATAAATTAAACATGGGAATATCAATACAGCTAAATTAAACTGTTGGCAGAGTCAGTCTGTTTCATAATTGTAAGTATTTTGTCAGTATATTTGAAATGACTAGGTTAGCTACGTAAGCTAGCTAGCTTATGGTGGATCTGCAATAATATCGGAAGGAATCACGCGATCACATTGTTAAATAACCCAATAAGTCTGAAACAGTTTAGGTAAGTTTCCAGGGACAGCCCTCCGGTCCCAGCTGTGTGCGTATGCGTCAACTTTTAGTGTCCACGTTTGAGCTTCTTGCACAATTTTTATTTGCAGCATTTTGTTTATGCAGCATTTTTTTATTCGCAACCTTTTTTTGAAGCTGCAGCTCGTTTCTCCTAAAGGAAGTGTTTTGGCCATTTGCAGATGTCGGCCACCGTACTCAACTCCTCCATGCCAGAAGGACGTCAGGGAAACGTGTTAGCACTTTCCTGGATTGAGCAGCTGAGCAACATCCGCAATAATAAATGTTTTTAGGAGATTGCCTAAAACCTCAGAATCTGTTTTGACTGCCAGTCAATTAGTATTTTTTTCTTAATCCTGCAGCCCATCTGCCTGAGAAGTGAAACGTACCTGCTGTTATTTACGAACCTGCTTGAGTCGTTTGTGCAGTCGGGCTCTGAGGATGTAGAGGTCCGCGGTGGGACCCTCTGACAGCATCCAGCCGCTCACCAGCTTCAGACAGTCGCTGTGCTGACCTACAGCTGACAGGCAGGCCAGCCTGAGATTTAAGAACAGAAAAAACATGTACATTTAACATCTGAAGTCTTGCTTACTATTCATTATTGAGATGTTTGGTCTCTCTTTTCTCATAGTAATGTCAGATATTCAATTTAAGGCTATATTGTGACATGCACAAAAGCTATAGCGCAGTTTTGTCAATGAAAATCTTAAGCCCCAGCTGCTGTAATTTAGATTTATATGTGTATACAAAAATATCTTCTGACCAGGCTTGAGGAGTAACGGATGACATGTTACTGGGTTACAAAAAACGTAACTGTATTCCACAGTTACATAAATCAATAGGTAATCAAATTATGAATACATTTTAAAAATGGGGATTACTAAGAGGAATACAATGTTACAATACATAATAAAATGAAGATTGAAGCACATGCGCTCTCATTACTTCACTCATTTCACGAAGGGGTAAATATTAAAGTTAGCTGAATGTGCAAAAAAGCAGCTAAAGGCTTGGCTTCACAATTCCATACTTACATACATAACACACTTAAGTAAAAGCTGTCTTATTAATCTTTATTTTATCTTGTAGTTATTTGCAGTGCATTGGATATTGGGGTTATCCAAAAGCAACGAAGAGTAATCAAGTTACATTACTTTTTTATGGTGATTAGGTTCAATTTTATTACACATACTTTGTAATTGTAACAGAATACAGTTTTGAATTAACCCTCCCAACCCTGTTTTTTACATATATACTTCTCTATGCTTCTACATATACCTCATGTAATATCCCAAATAAAAACATGATACAAACATTTTGAAAAACCTAAGCACACATGCACAACTTTATTCCAGGTCTTAGTACGCAGGTTGCTGACCTTCTGACCTGGTAGGCCCTGCAGCCGGGCTTCAGCTCAGCAGCTTTGCTAAAAGCCTCCAGAGCCTCCAGGAAAAGGCCTCGGTCAAACAAGCACTGGCCCTGAGGACAAAGAGAAACAGGAAGACCACCATTTAAAGAGGCCCTATTACGCTTTTTGGGGTTTTCCCTTTCCTGTAGTGTGTTATATATAGGTTTGTGTGCATGTAAATGGTCTGCAAAGGCTAAAATCCCAAAGTTCCCTCCAGAGGGAGTTTCTCTCCCACACACTCCCCCCTGCCTGAAATGCCTCCATTGGACTCACTTGTTTACCACCTGAACATAGTGACAACACGCGTTTCTATAGGCTAGCGCTCCAACACATTGTACATGATTTGCCAAGGGGTGGGACATCTCTGAGCAGTTCACGAATCACAACAGAGCCGGCCAGCTAACCAATCAGAGCAGACTGGGCTCTGGTTTCAGATAGAGCAGTGTTTCTCAAAGTGTCCACTGGTGGTCCGTGAGTGCACCCTAGTGGTCCGTGAGTATATTGGTAAAATTTCACATTTGAAATAAATTTATTTATTTACATTTTCCGCACTCTCGCAGGAATATCTCCGCAATGGAGCGAGCTTAACTTTCACTTTCGATGGGATGATATAGCCCAGCGCAACACCTTCGTCACACATGTTTCCACTTGTTTTTACCATTTCCAGGCGATTTGTAATCTGTTCTAGAAAAACTATGTATTTTTATTTTTATTTCAAGAAGCATATAAAACAAACAATTGATGTATTTTATGAACATTTATCCATGCTGAAAGTAGATGTAGATGTGTTAGGAGTTAGATAGAGATTATTATCTAATATATGCATCCAATGAAGCGTTGCATGAAGTTGCATGTTGATGAATCAGAGGCTGTTGTTGGGGCTGCATAGTGTTTCTCAAAGTGTGGTCCGCGGACCACTGGTGGTCCGTGAGCGCCCTCTAGTGGTCCGTGAGTATATTGGTAAAATCTCACATTTGAAATAAATAAATACATTTACATTTTCTGCACTCTCGCGGGAATATCTCTGCAATGGAGCGAGCTTAACTTTCTGAAAGTAGATTTAGATGTTTTAGCAGTTAGATAGAAATTATATATCTAATATATGCATCCGATGAAGCACTGCATGAAGTCTGTTGATGATCAGAGGCTGTTGTTGGGGCTGCATAAACGTTTTTTATTTGTTTTTGTAGGCAGACCATGCAGGCCAGCCCGATGGTCACCAAGGTTCATGTTTTAATAGCATTTTTACAAAAAAAGCCTATGCGAGCCTAACATGTGAAAAAAGGGCTTAGACCTCAGAGAGTTAAACTTGGGCCTGCAACCATAGTTTTACTATATTTTGTTTTGAAAATCCACAGCCGGGGTTTTACGTCGTACTACATGCAGTGTATTTTGCATATCTCTCAGTAGCCAACGATCTGTGAGTCTGTTAATAAACTCCGTAATAAATATAGTCTACATTTCATAAGAGGTGTAAAACCTGTGGGCATTTTAAATCGCATTTGAACGAAAGGCTTATATAATCTGTAGTTGTATTTGTATTGTTGATTTAATGTGTGAACGAGGCGATGTAGAGAGGTCACGTTAAGCTGTTGTTATTATTAGTCTGTACTTTGTTATATACTGTTGGAGTGGTAAGCAGGCCTATTTTATTTGGATATTTGGGGAGTTAGGTGGTCCGCGAGTGTTTTTTTATTGGTTAAGTGGTCCTTGGTATGAAAAAGTTTAAGAAACACTGAGATAGAGGGTGAAAAGAGGTGCTGCAGCACAGGCAGTATGAGAATAATAAAGAGCTTTTTGAACATTAAAACATGTAACTTAATTTGTTTTACTTGACTGTATCAAAAATAACAATTTCTGAGTCCAAACTCACCTGTTTCAAGCTTTACATGATTTGTGATTTCCTTTTTAATTCAGCACAAACTCATCTGAGAAAATGTATTTTCTTTTGTTAACTACTCTGCTCAGTATTGTTCAATAAAATGAACTAGTAAATATAATACATGTATTTCGACCAAATAATGTAATTTATCATGCACATAATCATCACATCTGACAGCTTGTAGGCAACAGGTTATTCAATGTCACCATTGGACATCATTGTTATTGTTTTAGTATCACATAAATATGTTTTTATGTCTGTTGTCATACATGGTTTCATTTATTTTTGCATAAACTCATCTGTGAAACACTCTCTTCTTTTGTTCAATTGTCTGCTCCTGATATATAATAGTCAATATAATTACCTGTTCTAATGTTACATTAATGGGTAATAATTGAAAAGGCATTTTTTCTTTGCACCGTATTTTAGTCTACGTTGTGTCCATAAACAGAATTGTACATTAATTGTGTTGTAGTTACCTGGAGATAAAAAATGAAGGCCAGGCGGTCCCTGAATGCACCGGGCTCCAGCAGAGAGGCCTGTTTATAACAGGCTGCTGCTGACTGGAAGTCACACAGCTGCAGGTAGGCCTCCGCCTGGCTCTCATGTAGCCGAGTCTAAAACACACAACACAAGGTTATTAGGTGGAAAAAAATCGAACGGTTTATCTGAAACATAAAAACATACTGGAACTTATAGCAACAACTCACAGCAGCAGATAAAAGCAAAATATCAAGCAACTAAACAACAGTGAGTTTACAGGTGATGCAATCTTTGCTTTAAAGGAGATTTAGTTTTAGGGGGGGACGGGGTTCCCTTTCCTGTCGTCTGTTATATAGGTTTTTGTAAATGGTCTGCAAAGGCAAAAATCCCAAAGTTTCTCTACCAAACACTCCTTCCCTGCTTGAAACGCCTCCATGGGACTCCTTACTTGACTTCCCCCAACCTGGTGACATCTGTGGTGGGAATTTATTTATCAAATGTGGATAGAGAATCAAACCATTCAGCTGTCTTTGTCGTATTGTATTTCTTGCAAGAAAGTTCAGTCAGTCATACAGAGAGCATACAGTCTGCAGAGTGAAAGATGAAGAATAGAGTTTGGGTTACATATTTAAAAACAGAGAGAGGAGAAAGGGAGGGGTTGAGCTTGGTGATAACAATGGAGCATTCTGGAAGTTTAGGGAGTTAGGGAGGCCATATCAGGATGTTCTCAGTTCACCTGAGTTGAAGGTCATACTGTTGGTGCACAAAGAGTGTAACTAACAACATTGCAACACAACTTCTTAATAAGGAATGTTCCCAAGCTTAGCTAAGAAGTGTGAGAAGTAGTAAATATAGATAAACATTAGCAAATAAGAATCACACAATGATATTATTAAAGTAAGTAAGTGAGTATAATATTGTTCTATTACAATTACCACGTAAAGATCACGCTTCTATTTGCTAGGGCTCCAACACATTGTACATGATAGGCTAAGGAGTAGGACATCTGAAAAGTATTTAGGTAACCAATCAGAACATACTGGGCTCTGGTTTCAGACAGAGGGTGAAAAGATGTGCTGCTGCACAGTCAGTATGAGAAAAATAAAGCACTTTTTTGTTACATTAAAGCATTTAAACATGTCACAGAGTAGAGGCACACAATACAAATATGAAACCTGAAAATGTGCATAATAGGGCCCCTTTAATAAATATTATTAGTAGTAGGCTACTATTATTATAAAAAGGGCTAAAACTACCTAAAAATTGTAACTTAATCTTTACAAAGTGTCACAACATACAGTACATTTTAACATAGAGCTTTGTGTCCTAGTATGTCCATCACCTGTTCTGGCTGCAGTGTGATGGCTTTGGAAAAGCAGTTCACAGCCTTCTCAAACTGAGACTTTCCCATTGCCTCTTTTCCGTTTATGTAACTGCAAAGAAAAACCTTATAAGCATAATTGAACCCTGAAAAGGCACACACTGGATGTTATGTTCCAGGATACATTGGAACACATAGCTGTCAGTGATGCTAAAGTAAAATTATTGTATTTACTTCTGAAAAATATGTATTTAATGAGTGTTTCTCACTGCTCTGCGGCCTTGCTCTGGATGATGAGGCTCGCCTGTAGGTCTAGTCTTTGAGGCCGTTTCTCTCCTGGTTCCAGAAAGATTGCACTGGAGCCAAAACACTTCTTCAAGGTGCTTTTTCTCCTGGCTTCTTCCACCTTCTCAGCTGACACAGCAGTGGGAAATAAACCTGGCTCCTCTGCATGCTGTGGACAAAAAATACAAAAAAATATAATAATAATTTGTAGGGATGACAACCTACAAAACAATGAAGAATAGACTAACTGAATTAAAAAGTAAATATAAATATTTGTTGTATAAACAGTTCTGACCACTACTGAGGAAATATTTCTGTTTCTTCCTCCAAAGATGGACGACTTTCCGTTGATGACGTGACATTCCCATTCCCTATTGTCAGCAAGTGTAAAAATGTGTAGCCTACTAATAGAGTTACAACTTGCTTCATTCTGGTACTATTACATGTCGTAAACTCTCCCATCGTTATTTGTGTTCAACATTTTCAATAAAACACAAATACTTTGCTAAAGTCAATATTACTTTGATCAAACTATTTGACCAAATACTGATAAGATTACGCTAGTTGTACCTAACTACTTTTCAACAAACATTTGTTTACCGTGTTGTCCTTTATCTCCGCTAAAGTGTCCATTGTGTGTTTCAAATAGCTGATATAGGCTGTTTTACATTAGTTCCGTTTATTTTGCTCTGTTTATTTCCATCTGTCAATAAAGAGTTGCTGCGGATATGTTGAATCTGGTTGTCACTATGGAAACCTCCATACCACTCCGCGGTCTGGGAAAGGCTTTTATTTTCTAAACAAAGCGTATCAAGAAGAGAGCGAGCTTCCCTTTTCCGGTCACTTCCGGTAAAGTTTCAAGACAGCTGAGCTAATGCACGTATTATGACTCTATTATGCTAGTGTAGCGTAAAAAATATGTATATTCAATGTTTATACTTGGTAATACTGATGTAGCAACGATATAACTTTACGTAGAGAAGACAATATTAGCGTATAACGTTATGGCTTTACTTAGCAACTAAACGTTAACCTGTAACTAGCTTTAGCTGCCTCATTGAAAATAATGAATGCAAAATGGCTTTGAAAGTTTCACCTTTAGTTAGACAGTGTTGTTTTTCGAGGCTCTATAGTTCCTAACACTTTTTAAATTAACACATTGTTACAAGACGCTCTTTTGGTTCTACACAGATACTTTTATTTTGAAAGCGGGAAACAGCCGGCACAAATGATGATCAGCTGACTGAAATGTTGACAAAGCAAGTTGGCTACCACCGGTGGAGGAAGCAAAAACCATTGCTGATCATTTTGTAGATTAACTTTACTGAAATATCCGATGCATACTTCACGATGACCTGAGATATTGTATTAGGTGTCTGTTCGCTTGTGTGGCTGCACAACAATTTGTACACACAAGTAGACGATACTCTGGAAATAGTTTTCGCCTAACCTGTGATCCATGAAAAACGTGAACAAGAAGACCCCAATAGTAACATTACTGTCGTCAGTATGGACATCCAAAACGAGAGTAGAAGGCTGCTGGATGCGGAGGATGGAGATGAGGACCTTACTGGACTCATGTCTGAGCAAGATGCTTATCTGAGGTCAGTTAACACAACCATACACAGTACCGAGCTGAGTGTAGTCTGTTTTATCAACACAAATATGGATTTTTAAAGTACCATTACAGAAGTCTTACATTTATCTGTATGTTAACTTCAAGGGGCATAGTTTACACCCTTCTAACTGTAAGGCAATTCATGCTGGTGTATTACAAACAATTGAATGCACTTTTAATAATTCAAAGGATATCCATTTATTTTTTAATGTAGTACCAAAAAATATAAAATGTTGACTTGTCTCTTGACAATAATGTGCCTATTAGTTGTTCCACTACCATTTGGACGTTATTATTGAAGAGGCTTCACCATGGACCAGTGATGTAATTGTTCAAGTTCTCATTCCTATCATGTGCTCCACAATTACAGCAAAGCAGTCGTTGGCAGTTAAAATATTGGGCCTTAGGGCAACAATACTTATTTAATATACTGTATGTAAAACAGAAAATCTGACAAGTAAAAGCAAAAACAGCTTTAAATAATAGTGCAAGTTATATCCAGCTGGTTAGGATACTCTCAATGATGCGCCCGTAGAAGTATCCTGGAGTCTATGTTTAACCTCCTTAGCCTTTTGGAGGAAGAAGAGCCTCTTGTTCTCTTTGAGATGTTGTTTGCGTGGTGAGTTCAGGTTCACTTTAAGATTGTGGTACGACTGGGCGGTAGTCAATGAAGCAGAGGGCTTTTTGAAACAAGTCTGTAGTCATCAGATCTAGGTGATTTGCTGGATTAAGCAGTTTGAAAGGTCTACACATTATGTCCTGTATGTTTCTATTGGGCTCCTGAGTCTGTTGTACTTACTTAACTGGGGAGATTATATTAAAGCATGCCAAGTTACTCAGCTCTTCTGGGAGAGATGTGGACATTATATCAGCCTCTTGTAGTCTGTGATGGTTCTTAGTCAAAAACATATTTCTGGTGTTGGGGCTCTGGTAGTTAGAAAGAGGTGAGCAATGTATTTTTCATTCTGTAATCATTTTCTTGATTAACAAACACGTATTAATGTGAAGAGATATCAGAATGCACTGCCTGTGGACTGAGCTACTGCCACCCAAGTCCTTTTAGCCAGCAACATGTCAGAAAACAAGTTATTCTTTTTGTTTGTCCATAATCAATCCAGCACCTAAAGGAATTGGTTAAAAATGTTATTGAGAACATAAAAAAGCACAAATCTTCAGAGAAGCTGGGGTCAGACAATGTTAATCCATTTATTGAATAATGGTTTTAGCAGAAGAGTTGCATCACTGTTGTTTCTTTCCATGCCCTACAGAGGGGAAGAAAGCTAATGGCTAGTCAGCAAGAAAGTGCAGCTGCCTTAAACAGTATAAATGATTTTCAACTTACATACTCCAAATACTTTTCTATCATAGTATAGGTTTCCTTATGTACTAACACAATACAATTATTATTCTTGTTTAAACATTAAAAACAATTGAAAACAGACAGAATCAAAATCACATTATTTTTATTTTTTGAAAAGAAATGAACACACTGACCTTTGTCCTTCATCTTCTTTCCGTCTTTCTCTCCACAGTAAAGTGAAAAACAGGAATCTGTACTTGGCAACGTTTGTGTCTGTTCTTGGTCCCATGAGCTTCGGGTTCGTGTTGGGGTACAGCTCCCCTGCCATCCCAGAACTTACCAGTATCAGTGACCCTCGGCTGCGGCTGGACGCTAACCAGGCCTCCTGGTTTGGGGTAGGATGTTACCATATCACTTGGCTCAAAGCAGAACTGCTTTTAAAAGATGTGTTTTCAACATATCAGCAGTTTTATGTCACCACATGTTGCCCATACACATCTCATTGGATTCACATGGGTTCAAAACATGGTAAAAGTATAAAGAAACACCAAAAAAACTCTAATAGTACCAGACGTCTAATGTAAGTTAACTTAAAGGTGGGGTAGGTAATTTTGGAGAAACCGGCTCGAGTGCGCTAGAATTTGAAAATACACAGCTGGAAGAAATCTGCCACTTCCTTACAGAGCCCCTCCTCCAACACACACGAACGCGCACATGACCAATGAGGGCACGAGATAAGTTTGTGCACAGATGGAAGGCTGACAGGCAGGTAGGCCATCCAGTTATTTTAGCCGGGCCGGCTAAAATGATTGGTCGTGCTTTTTACAGTACTACGGCTTCCACAGAGGACATTTTTTTATGGATTTTTTGTCAAAGCACTTAAGATATTCATTGCTATCGGGATGTTAAGAGCATTCCATGGAATATAACAAAAAGTGTATCTCGAGCCGGTTTCTCAAACTTACCTACCCCACCTTTAAGTGAGTAATTAAGCATTTAGTTTTTGTAATTTTTTTTGGGTAGTTGCTTGTGTATACTTATTGTTGCATGTGTATTGGTGTGTTAACCCACGGTGGCCGACTGCTGCAAACGAATTACAACGGCCCAAAACACGTGCATTAGGAGAAAAACGCTGCAAATACAAAACACAGTAAATAGAAACGCTGCAAGAATCTCAAGACACAACGGAAACAGGCAAAGCTGGGACCGGAGTGCTTGTTGATGTTCGGGGATTATAAAGTTGGCCAACTGTCGCAAATAGAAAACACAAATGTACCAAAACACATGTGGCACATTTGTGTTTTTTATTATTGTAGGAGCCATGAAACGTATATAGCAATGCGTTTGGTTTTGATATAGGATGTTTGTTTGGTCACTGTTGATTGGTTGGCTTGGGTCACATGGATATGGGCGGCACTCATTATAATCCTGTTCACCCGCGTGAGGTGTGTGTGTGGAAGAGAGGGTGACACAGGGCCGTTGTACTTTTTGTTGACCGCACGTTTTAATGATTGCGTTGATTAATATAACGATGTACATGTCCAAGGAAAATAAGTTGATCATCCCAGTTTTCATTAAACCACATTATTTTTCAACAGAGTTTTTGATCTCAGCAAGTACTTTTTTGTAGCGTGTCACACAATATCTAACAGGCCCGGCCTCAGCCTCTCAGCGACTTTGTTTGTTGGCTTGTTTCCTGCTGTCGCTATATTTTGTCAACAAAAAACAACACAACAAGCACACAAGGCGTAAGGCGATCATCATCAAACAGCGCATGGATTAAGGATCTATTGGAGGAGAATGGAGATAAGAAATCATTGGAAACAATTCACGGAGGTAAGCACTGGCTGTTAATAAAGATTGCAGTTTTGGAAGCCGCATTCAACGCGGATCACGGCTAGGTAAGCCTTACCACTGAATGTGCTCATATTCACCGCCGTGTATCTCCACTGTATATCTCCGCTCTGTCGCATGGAAGTTGCTCTGCTCTGTTGATGTGGAAATGTGATGCTTTTCAAGGAATTTTCTTCCGATCTGTGAGTGTGTTACAATCAAACGAATGCACTGAAGAAGCTCCAATAATCAAACGGAGAAAATGAGTCAAATAAATGTTGACGTGGAAAATGTTGAAATGGACTATGAGAAAAGAGAACGCAAACTCACTGCGAAGGCATTGGTAAATAAGATAGAACAACTTCAACGGGAACGTAAAACCAGTGTGAATAAAATAAAAGCACTCATACCAGAAATAAAAGCACATATGAGAGAAAAAGGAAATGCCTCACGTGTGCAAACTCATTTAGATAATTTAATTCAACTGGGTAAAAAAGCCATTATTTCACATGAAATGTTGATTCCTTTACTCCCAGAGGATGAACTAAGCATTCGGATGGAATGAACTCTTATATTGAACAAAGAAACCTTAAACCACAAGCCCTCTACACTGCCAAGGACAATATAAATACTCCACAAATGTTGCTAAACCAAAGAGAGACTAGCAATGACTTCTTGGATCCAACAACACGGCCTAATGAGAACATGTCACCTTGGTTCCTTTCCTCAGAGCCAGTATCCCTTAAAAAATCTAATTTGAAAACACAAATGAATTATGGAGATACTTTGAACTCAAGTGAAGATCAAAACAACATACTGGGCATTATGAGAAAACCAAATGAAATAACCACACTGTTAATACAACAGCAATGTCTTTCATCCTTGCCAAAGAGAGAGATTCCAGTTTTTGATGGCGACCCATTAAAATATCATACATTTATGAAGGCTTTTGAGAATGGTGTTGAGAAAAACACAAACAGCTACAGTGACCGACTCTATTTTTTGGAGCAGTACACTCAGGGTCATCCCAAAGGACTTGTTCGAAGTTGCCAGCATATGGATCCAGAGAGGGGATATGTCAAGGCTAAAGCTTTAATCAGGGAGCAGTTTGGAAATGAGCAGAAAGTGGCATCTGCATATTTGCAAAAGGCTCTTTCATGGCCTCCTATAAGAACAGAAGATGTTAAGGCTCTGCAAGACTACAGTTTCTTCCTTAGAGCATGTGCAAACGCAATGGAAGAGGTGCAGTATTTGCATGAGCTTGACATGGCTGCGAATATGATGATCATAATAAGAAAGTTACCTTACCAATTCAGAGACAAGTGGAGAACTTTAGCCTGTGAGCTGCAGGAGAGGAACAGCCACAGAGCAACATTCTTTGACATCACACATTTCATTGAGAGACAAGTTAAAATCTTAACCGACCCAGTGTTTGGAAACATACAAGATGCTCCCTTCATAACAACAAATACTGGTTTAAACCGATCACAGCCTCGCTCAAAGCCGCAGAGCAACATTCTTTGACATCACACATTTCATTGAGAGACAAGTTAAAATCTTAACCGACCCAGTGTTTGGAAACATACAAGATGCTCCCTTCATAACACAAAATACTGGTTTAAACAGATCACAGCCTCGCTCACATTTCGTAGGAACTAGCTTTGCCACCACTGTAGCCCTTGTAGAAAATGAAACCCAGACAGATACTGAATGGAAGGAACACATTCTGACAAAATGGAGGACATGTCTGTGCTGCGGAGGAGGTCACACCTTGGACTCGTGCCATCAGCTTGAAAAAGGAACACACAAAGAAAAGATAGGCTTCTTGATGGAAAAAGGTGTCTGTTTCGGCTGTTTGTGCGTGGGGCACATTAGCAGAAATTGCAAAAAACGAATTTCCTGTTCAAAATGTGGGTTCAAACATCCAACCATACTTCACATCCCTTCCAATGAATGAAGCAAGACACAATCCTGCTCAAGCCAAGAATACATCAGAGCTATCAGTGGACAGCACACTAGTTTCAAGTGACCTTACTGGGGCTGGTGATGACAACTGTAAACTTCCCATTGTTCCAGTGCAAGTCAAGTCAACGAAAGGCAGCAAGATTGTCACCACCTATGCTTTATTGGACCCAGGAAGTACAGCAGTGTTTTGTACAGAGGATCTGATGCACGAGCTCAGCCTAACTAAAGAAGGCGCAGATTCTTTTATGAACCATGGGCCAAGAAAGGGTCTTAAATAGCCATATTGTGTTGGGACTAGAAGTGGCTGTCTTAAAAAATGACAATTTCTGTGAACTGCCACAAACCTACACCCAAGAGTGCATGCCTGCCCACAGTGGGAACATTCCTAGACAAGCAGACCTACAAAGATGGCCTCATCTAAAAAACGTTAATTTGCCTGAAATAAATGCAGGGATTGGACTGTTGATAGGAACCAATGTTCCTAAGGCCTTGGAACCATTGGAAGTCATATGCAGTGTGGATGATGGACCCTATGCAAGCAGGACAATCCTAGGCTGGACAGTGAATGGACCACTTAAAGGAGTGAGTGGGAATGCAATAGACTTTGACAAACCAGAAGTATCTGTGAACAGAATCTTAGTTATGAATTTAGATGAACCTTGGCCACAGCAGTTCGGCACAGACTTACCTGAATACAGATTGGAGGAACAAGCTGGAATGTCAAGAGAGGATCTCAAGTTTATGAAGTTTGCGAAGAAAGTGTTTTCTCAGCAAGAGCCGAAGAAGAAGTGTAAAAAGAAAAGTTTTAAAGATGGGAAGAAGCCTCATCCCAAATCCCAACAAAAGCCCTCTCCTTCAACGGCTGCTCAGAAAGGCGCCCGCTGCAAGCAAAATAAATGTAACAGCCATCGTGTTCAACAAGGTGGAGACCGTGGAGAACAAGATGAAGTGGACCAACGTGCTCTACAAGGCCGAAGGACTCAAAATCAAAGACGACGAGGACACGCTGCGCTCCTCGTTAAAGGAGGAGTGGGGCGATCGAAGCGAGAATATCACGGAGAAGATGCAGAAACGGCAGGAAGAGACGGAAGAACATCCGACATCAGTGACATCTTTACCACAATATTGACTCTTTTCGACTGACAGACTAAAAGGACACTAAGGATTATTTTTGACTGAGCCTAGGTGGTGGTACCTTTTGGCCTTATGACTCGTATAAAGAAAGATGAAGGAAAACTACACATGCATGAACTGCAACTGTATGGACTTGAGTACCAAGCTATAATTGTCACATGTCTCCCATTTTAATAATGTTAGTAATTATAATGTATACTAACCTAATAATTAGAGGCTGGTGTGTAGGAGCCATGAAACGTGTATAACAAAAAGTACAACACAGGGCCGTTGTACTTTTTGTTGACCGCACGTTTTAATGATTGCTTTGATTAATATAACAATGTACATGTCCAAGGAAAATAAGTTGATCATCCCAGTTTTCATTAAACCACATTATTTTTCAACAGAGTGTTTGATCTCAGCAAGTACTTTTTTGTAGCGTGTCACACAATATCCAACAGGCCCGGCCTCAGCCTCTCAGCGACTTTGTTTGTTTCCTGCTGTCGCTATAATTATTGTGACACATGTGACATGTGTTTTGGCACATTTTATGTTTTTATATTTGCATCCTTTCTGAAGCTGCAGCGTGTTTCTCCTATTGTAAATGTTCTTGGCCGTTGTAAATGGTTTGCACCCGTTGGCCAGCATATAAACCTTTTATAAATCGAAATAAGTATCATGAATAATCATGAGTGAAATGTTTGGACAGAAAAGCTAGGCAGCAGAGAAGAGCAGATTTCTGACAACAATCTACTTCTAATGTGTACTTGGAGTTGTCAAATTGGGCAAATCCCAAGGCTCAGTGTTGTTTATTTCTCAGTCCATAGTGACGGTGGGGGCGGCGGCCGGCGGCCTGCTGGGCGGATGGATGGTGGAGAGGTTCGGCCGGAAGCTCAGTCTGATGTTCTGCTCGCTGCCGTTCGTCTTCGGGTTCACCATGATCATCGCAGCTCAGAACGTGTGGATGCTGTACGTCGGAAGAGTGCTCACCGGCCTCGCCAGCGGGGTCACCTCACTGGTGGTCCCGGTAATTAGCACCGGCACGCTTTCCAGCACCTAAAGGAATTGGTTATCATTTTGATTGAGAACAGAAAAAGAGCACATGTTTGGAGAAGCTGGGGTCAAATAATGTAATTGAATAATTGTTCTAGCAGAAAAGTAGTTTCACTGTTGTTTCTTTCCATGCCCTACAGAGGGGAAGAAAGCTAATGGCTAGTCAGCAACAAAGTGCAGCTGCCTGAAACAGTATGAATGATTTTCAACCGACATACTCCAAATGCTTTTCTATCATCTTATTGGTGAATGAATGAATGAAATGAACACTCCCCAGTATCGCCTTTTTACTTCAGACGTTGTGATGTGCAAACATTCATATATAAGCAGCGGAACTGTCATTGATTCCAAATTGGGAGAATAGTTTTGTTGCAGCAGCATGTTTACAAGGCATGGTACATGAGATACAAATATGATACAATTTAAACTAAATAAACATAAACTGTAAATATATCCAATTCAACTCCAATCCAACTTTATTTCTATAGCACATTTAAAAACAGTTGACCAAAGTGCTGTACATCAATAAATACAAACATATAAAAAAATAACAGATAGGACATCAAAACAAATGTAGAACACAGGACAATAAAAAACATAGCCACAGACTGAAAACTCACATACAAAATAAACAGTAAAAATCCACTGATAGACATAGACTTACAACTTAAACAGCGTATATAAACATAGGGTACTAAATACACAACACAAGTATGCAAATAGCCATTTTTTTTAATTAAAATGTGATTGCATTACAGGTATGTCTGTGGAATATTAGCACATCTGTTTGCGTTGTTATGCTGCATATTTATAAAACATCAATAACTACATCCTTTTTAAATGTGTCTCTTATACATATTTTCCCTGACAAATTACTTTCGAGCTTAAACATTTGGAAAGACAATTCATGTATTTACAGAAAATGAAATGTCAACTGTTAATGTATTTGATAAATATTGATTAATCACTCAAGTATTTTATAAAGCAAAATTGCCAAACACTCTCTGCTTTTAGCCTCATAAATATAGAGCCTTTGCTAGGTTTTCTATTTTACATTATTGTTCTATCAAATGACAAAACAAGCATTTTGATGTGCTGGTAACTTTGGATCTTTTTGTACAACCAATAATGAATTAATAAGTAAGTAAACAGCATCTGAATCAATAATAACGCAACAAAAAAATATGAATAGTAATATACCTATGATTTTTGGCTATAGCTGCAACTTGTTTGTTTCTCTTTTACTCAGTTCGATAATGTAAATAGTTTGATAGTTTCATTATGTGTCTTTGGGTAAAAGTCTAGAATATCACTGAGCGTTCTCTGGTGTAATTTTCTCTTTGTCTCTCTTCATACAGCTGTATATCTCTGAGATGGCCCATGAGCGGGTACGCGGGACCTTAGGCTCCTGTGTGCAGCTCATGGTGGTGATAGGGATCATGGGAGTGTATCTCGCAGGTATGTCTCCTCAGCTTTATGTCTTTATGGAGTCCTTCAAACTCATGTAAAAAAGTCTGACTACAGGATATTGAAACTTGCTGAATGTTTAAGAAACATAAGTCGCACGAGGTCACAGTTTACAAGCTGTATATCATTAACTTCCAGCGTATGACAGTAGCTGCAAAATACATAGCTACAAATCTTATCTCAAAATGTGTAATATCTTTGCTCGTTCTGGTTATTATCTGTATTCATTATCTTCTCTAAACACCTAATGTAAACCTGCTTAGTTAAACATGTCCTGAGGTTGCTATACTGTTTCCAACGTCTGGTTCAAAGGTTGCAGTGCATCATGTGATGTCATCATCCTCAAATATGAGTCCCGTGCTGAAACTTCTACAGCCTCACTGACCTGCCTCTCGCTAATCTTGTTAGCCGCATGCCATTCACTTTGACCCAATAGAAGATGTGTGTCCCATGACATGGGTTGTCTCCTGTGAGAGGACATGTATATATTATGTCGTTTGCCCTTTAATGTGTCACACATTTGGTATTATTCAATGTGATATAAAGGAATCCAATTTTCACAGTAGTAACGGTTTGGTAGTTTTCAAACTAGGAACACAAATTGGAATCTAATTTTGTCACATGCCAGCTGCTGTTCAGCACAAAGGTGAACACTGTGGTCGTTGTTGAAAAGCCAGTGGAACAATCAGATCTGCTGGCAAATATATTTTTGGATGCAGCAGATGAAGACGGCCGTGACTGGACAAGGCTCCTCTTTGTCCTGCAGCCTTCAGTCTGACATGCACACAACTGGGGGGAAAAACTCGATGCTTGGTCCAACAATTTGAAAATACAGACAAGAAGGAAAGAAGGAAATTCAGGCAAATGACGTCCCTTTTGTAGGAGATAATTACCTTGTCCATTGCCAACATTGGCTGCAAAAAAACCTAAAACACTCAAAAGTTAGCATCAAGCAGCAAGGGCTCCCTTAACAAAAGTTAAAAGGTGTTTTCAATTACATTTTGGAATATCTCAAAAATAAGCTCTTTGACAAACACACTTTTATATTTACACATTTTGCTCCGCAGGATAATCTGTACATATTAACACAAGTTTTATGATTCTTTTAAGCGTAAAGGCAATTATCAAAAGTACAACGCTAACGCTAGGCTATACACCTTATATATACAGTCTATCTATGCTATACACCAGTGTTTCTCAAAGTGTGGTCCGCGGACCACTGGTGGTCCGTGAGTGACCCTAGTGGTCCGTGAGTATATTAGTAACATTTCACATTTGAAATAAATAAATAAATTTAAGTTTTCCGCACTCTCGCGGGAATATCTCCGCAATGGAGCGAGCTTAACTTTCGATTGCATGATATAGCCCATTGCAACACCTTCGTCACACATGTTGCCACTTGTTTGTACCATTTTCAGGCGATTTGTAATAAATAAAAACGATGTGTTTTTTTTTTAGATTTCAAGAAGCGTCTAAAACAAACAATGGATGTCTTTTATGAAAATGTATCCATGCTGGAAGTAGATTTAGATGTGTTAGGAGTTAGATAGAGATTATTATCTAATATATGCATCCGATGAAGCGTTGCATGAAGTCTGTTGATGATCAGAGGCTGTTGTTGGGGCTGCATAAACGTTTTTACATTTTTGTTTTGTAGGCAGACCATGCAGGCCAGCCCGATGGTCACCAAGGTTCATGTTTTAATAGCATTTTTACAAAAAAAGCCCAGGCGAGCCTAACATGTGAAAAAAGGGCTTAGACCTCAGAGAGATAAACTTGGGCCTGCGACCATAGTTTTACTGTATTTTGTTTTGAAAATCCACAGCTGAGGTTTGTGTCGTAATACATGCAGTGTATTTTGCATCTCTCTCAGTAGCCAACGATCTTTGAGTCTGTTGGCTCGGACATAAACTCCGTAATAAATGTAGTCTACATTTAAAAAAAAAACCTGAGCATTTCAAATCGCATTTGAACAAAATGCTTATATAATATGTAGTTGTAATTGTATTGTTGATTTAATGTGTGAACGAGGCGATATAGAGAAGTTAAGCTGTCATTATTAGGCTGTAATTTGTTATCTACTGTTGGAGTGGTAAGCAGGCCTATTGTTTTTGGATATTTGTGGAGTTAGGTGGTCCGTGAGTGTTTTTTTATTGGTTAAGTGGTCCTTGGTGTGAAAAGGTTTGAGAAACACTGCTATACACGAACTGCGTCAATGTCGCACGGATGCGCATCTCAGCTAAAGGCGGCTAATGTTCGGAGTGATTACGTTTAGTAGTGTTATTTGTTCACCAGAATAATCTCACAGATTAATAGTACATATTAATCACCAGAAGTTAAATCTAACGTTATAAACAAACATCACGTCGCAACGGCTTCGCATCTCCACCGCTAAACTTAACGAGGCTAATGTTTTTTGCGTGATTACTTTTAGTAGTTTAATTTAGCCACTGCTTCTAGCAACCACTCTTTTTAGGACACATAGAAGCTTCAGACATTCACAAGTGGGGTATTTACTGATGTATTTTATGTCTTTGAACATCATTTAAAAATACCTTCAGCTTGTGTTGACAACAAACCATATGTCATGCCTTCACTCAAAAACACCTTCGAAAAATGTTCAGATTAGCTAACTGGAAGTAAGTAAGTAAAGTTTATTTATAAAGCGCTTTTCACAGACAAAGTCACAAAGTGCTTGACAAAACAATAAAACATCATCATAGGAATCGTACAATGGTAAATGAACACACAAGCCACGTGTTAAGAAGTCATAAAAGCACCAAAACATCATAAAAACACAATAAAAACACAATCAAACACAATGAAAACAAAATATAAACGTAGTATAAAATAGAATAAAATCAAGCACACCGGTTACCCAAACGCCTGCCCAAACAGGAATGTCTTTAAATTAGCTTTAAAGGAGTCAACAGAGTCAGCAGACCGTAGATGAGCGGCCAGAGCGTTCCATAGCTTAGGAGCCACGGCTTCCAACGCTCGATCACCGCGGGTCTTAAGGTGGTTACGTGGGACAGACAGTAAATTGTGCATGTGTGACCTGAGTGGGCGGGCTGATGTATATGTATGAATTAGGTCAGCCACATAAGCAGGAGTCTGACCGTGCAATGCTCTGTAGGTGAGAGTGAGGATTTTGAAGTGTATCCTATAAGCTACAGGGAGCCAGTGAAGAGATCTCAGTATTGGGGTAATGTGGGACCGTTTGTTTGACCGGGTGAGAAGTCTAGCAGCTGCATTTTGGACTGCCTGCAGACGACCAAGAGCAGACATGCTGAGAGAGGAGAACAATGCGTTGCAGTAGTCAATGCGAGATGAAATAAACGCATGTATAATCATTTCTAGGTCGGGTGTTGAAACTACAGATTCGTAGGTGGAAGAAACAAGATCTCGTCAGTTGCTTAACATGGGTATCAAACGACGCGGATTGGTTAGAATGCTAACTCATTTCTGGGTTATAAAACTCATTCCTGCACCACTATCTTCTGAGCTGTGTGACCTCGTCCTGCAGGGCTCTACCTAGACTGGCGCTGGCTGGCAATCTGCTGCTCCATCCCGCCTACGCTGCTGATGGTCTGCATGTGCTTCATGCCAGAGACGCCGCACTTCCTTCTGTCACAGGGCAAGAGGCGGGAGGCCGAGGAGGCGCTGCGTTTCCTGCGAGGTCCGGACGCCCCCATCGAATGGGAGTGCGCCCGCATCGAGGACGCCTGTAATGAGGAGGTGAGTCTGGAGAGTTTTTACAATGATTTTTGGTCTATCCATGAAGAACATTTATGAATGAAATGTCTCACTGATGGTTTCCTAAAGCGTTTGGTCAGTGAGAAAATGTGTGTTTCCTCTCAGGGCTCTAGATTCCAAATGTCCGACCTGAAAGACCCTGGAGTCTACAAGCCTGTGATGATCGGGGTCATGTTGATGATATTTCAGCAGATGACGGGAATCAACGCCATCATGTTCTACGCAGAGAACATATTTGAACAGGCACATTTTAAGGTGAAAAGGCTTTTATGTGTGATTTATTCCATCGGATAAATCACAGATTATAAATAAAATGTTTGTTCCTGTGCCAATTTGGTTTTGTGACAATTAGTCGATTTGCAAAGAAGTAAATAAAAGATAAGATAAAATATTTATATAAACATAAGAAGATAAAGTATTAATTAAAAACTAAACTAATCTATCATCATCAATCTAAACATTACAAATGAAAGTAAAATGTACACTAAAAGATACTTTACAATAAAAAATACAAATAGTTATATCAACCTGAGAAGTAATAATGTGAAAATTAGCATGTTTATTACTTTATATTAAATAAAAACTGTATTTGTGCTCCTGTTCTGTCCTCTGTCGCCGTGCGACAACGTTTTAATGTAACTGTCGTCGAAAATAATGATTGATAGCTATGTGCTATGCAAAGCAAAATAATTGAAATCATTGTTGGACTTTTTTCCAGGAATAGTTCCACATTGGACATTGAGAGAGCCTGTTATTCCCTGGTCAGAACTTGATATGTTTAAAGAGGCCCGATTATGCTTTGGGGGTTCTCCCTTTTCCTGTAGTGTGTTAATTAGGTTTTTCTGCATTCTTCAAAGGCTAAAATCGCAAAGTTCCCTCCAGAGGGAGTTTCTCTCCCACACACTCCCCTGTTACTTCTGTAACATAGTGACATGTCACAGTAGAGGCACAAAATATAATTATGAAACGTGAACATTTGTGTAATATTGCCCCCCTTAAGGATATACTTAATCTAAACGCAAACAAAAAGTAATGATTTGACTACATTTCAATCATAAATCCCTTTGATTTGTTGGTACATGAAATTGTAATTCATACCATGTATGTATGATGTATATGTTTTTTAAAAGCGTCAATGTGAATGTGTTGTTTCTCAGGAGAGTGACCTGGCCTCGGTGATCGTGGGTCTGATTCAGGTCGTCTTTACGGGAGTGGCCGCGCTGATCATGGACAGAGCTGGAAGAAAAATCCTTCTCATCATCTCAGGTATTTTCAATCCAACTTCATATTTTAAACAAATATGTGACGGCACTCTAATACACCCTCCCTTCTTGGAGGAAATAACATTTGCCTTTAGTTTTAGTAACATTATGTAATAACAGGAAGCAATATATCATGCATTTTTTCCCCGCATTCTGTAAAACAATATTGCAGGGCTGATTACAAAATGCTGGGGTTAAACAAATGTTTTATGAAGATGTAATAATGCCATATGAATAATTTTAAGCAACATGGATTCTTGACCTGCATAAAGCATTGTTTAGCACACTAAAACGGGTAAGATCATATCTATCTGGTCCTTCTCAAAGTGTTTGTATAGTAATAAAGTGTAGGCAATTAAACCATGATCAGTGCTACAAGGCTCAATTTTGGGACCACTGTTGTTCAGCAATTATATGAATGAATATCAGTTTTTGAGGATGTAGACATCCAGATATATTCTAACAACACGGACAATCCTGTAATAATCAAATACAAACCGTGTATCCACAGCTTAGTGTGAATGGATAAATGATCAAAAACTTAAATCACAAAGCAAAAAGATCAAAATACAGTCAATATACCACAATCCTAAGAAACTCAAGAGATGAAAAATCATCAGAACTTCAAATAACAAAACATCCATCAATGATTTAAATACAATGAGGGCTCATTGCTTAAACATTTGTAGTGAGTGTGGGTCCTTTAACACTCTGAAAATAGTCCAGTTCAATTTAAGGTGGATATGGGTGTTTATGAATACAGAGTTCAGAGTGTGGCGTTTGGGTGCAGGTTAGAGTGTAGGGTTTTGGGGGGATTGGAGGAGAACCTGGAAGTGGCAGAGCAAAACTTACCTGGAGGTCCAGGCAGGCCAGGGAAGATCCCAGAGCATCACATGCAGGTCAAAAGATGATGTTTAAGATGAATTGTATTCATCCCACCAGCTCCCGGGGTCATGTGTTTTCAAAAGTACAGCCTGGTTGACCAAAAAAGTCCCCAAAAATGCAGCTAGGTTAATAAACTGGATCAGACTGCCACTTCTTTCCTCTTTCAGCATTTTTTCACAGCCCTCTCGTCTCCTTTGTGCAACTTTCAGCAGTCATCTCCTTTCCTCTTCAGCTCACAGGTGTGGCTTATTTGTCAAAATAGCTTCCTCCAGCTCTCAGGTGTGGATTGTTTAGCCCCTCCCCTTTATGATCAGGGAGGGAATCTTTTTTTATTCGACCCCTTCCTGCTACCAGCGCAGTAGAGGAGTAGGGTTTGAAATATTACCTGCACAGCTATTTTTACCAAATGATCATAACAGACTTTGCTTGTTTCCCATTCATAATCAAGGTGTTGCCATGGCGATCAGCACCACAGCTTTCGGGGTTTACTTCTACCTGGTGTCTAAAAATCACCCCCCCACACTGGGACACTTGGTGCTGGACATCCAGAGCACAGCGGGCGAGGAACCCCATGCTGACCTGGCCTGGCTGGCCCTGGCCAGCATGGCTGTCTTCATCACAGGTGAGACCCTGACTCCCTGACACAACTCTAACCCTGTCATTAAAGGCCCCGACACGCAGAACAAGCACCAAAGAGCAAGTTTAGACATTTATTAGAGCGCTTTTCCGAGTGCTCAAAGCGCTTTATATTACATATTACACATATCAGACATACAATTAATGGGATACTATTGTGCTTTTTGGGTTTTTTCCCTTTCCTGTAGTGTGTTATATAGGTTTGTGTGCATGTAAATGGTCTGCAAAGGCTAACATCCCTGTCCCTTTATGAACATTAAAGCATGTAAACATGTCACAGTAGAGGCACAAAATACAAATGTCCACCTGAACCTTTGCAGAATAGGGCCCCTTTAATCCACAGCAATGCATCATATTCCACTAGATCATCATATGTTTATAGCGTTCCTGTGAGAACTACACATTTCTTCTCAGAAAAGCCTTCTTTATTTAAATGATGGCCATGCTTTTCCTAGCTAATCCAAGAAGCTTTTGAATGAGCTTGAAAAAAATGATAATTTTAATAAAGGAACGCTTTGTCCTTCAAATGATCACAGATATTCAAAATCTAACTTCATATAATCACAAGTTGCATACAATTGAAATGGACTAGTATGTCCAGTTTGTATTTAAGTCCTTGGTTGAATCTTTAATTGTTTCCTTCCACCACTGGGAATATTTTAGAACATATAGACTGGTCTGTGTGCCTCCACAGGTTGCACAACATTAATAATCGCTGTTGTGTTCAGGTTTCGCTCTCGGTTGGGGTCCCATCCCGTGGCTGATTATGTCGGAGATCTTCCCGTACAAAATTAGGGGGGTGGCCAGCGCAGTGTGCGTCCTCACCAACTGGAGCATGGCTTTCTTCATCACCAAAACCTTCCAAGACATGATGGTGAGTGATCAACAGGACTTGTTTAGTGATCATGAGCATGTTTTCCGGAGGTCATTTTGTGTATGCTATACAGGCAATAGATACACACAAATGACAGGACAGTATGATGAGATGACAGTCCCAGCTGAAACAAACAAAAGTTCAAATGAAATTAAATAAATAACAAAAGACAAAACAGAAGTGTTTGTGGTGAGAAGCCTGAAATAAGGTCTGTTGGTAACACAAGCTGAAGAGATTTGCACGTTTTGTTCTACGACATAAAATATGTCAGTAAATACTCCACTTGCGAACGTCCGAAGCTTCTCCGTGTATCATAAAACGGAGGTTGCTTACAGGTGAATAAATGGGACTACTAAACGTCATCACGCCGACCCAAGTCTGCCTTTAGCTTAGCGGTGGTGATGTGCAGCCATGCCAAACATACATCATCACTGCACCACTCTTATGTGCATATCATAATTATTGTTCCAAATAATCTCTTCGCTGATATTGGCCCATTGTTATGGCAACATTTCCTTCTGAAAAATGTGCTATTTTTTACAGAACGCATAACTTATTGGATATAGTCAACGAAACCTCTATGATCCTAATTATTTCATCTTGACAGAAAAACATTATAAACATTTAATCTCTTAATCTATGACATGATTATTCAAGTAATTTGTTCGTTTCACTTTAACCAACGTGAGGAATTTGTTGCTTCTCACAGTTTCATATCAACGTAAAATTATCTTCGTTTGGTTTTGAACATTGTACCTACAAAATAAGACGTCACTCTGGAAAATGCAAAAGATAAAATGAGTTTTAAAGTTAACTGACATTTTATAGTGTTAATAAAAAAAGGTAATTTGTATGTGTTTTGGTTAGAGCTTCACGATACAGAAAAATATAAATCATTGCAATTATTTGGACTGATATTGCCGTTGCGTTATGATTCGCAATATCGGAAGAAATAGTCATTTTTGAAACATTATTCACAATATTGTTGAAAAATAATATGAAATCATCTTTTTCTTTAGACAGGATCTGTACCAAACAAGGATTTTTTTATTAAGTCTGTAGAATACCTTTTCATACTTTATGAAATAGTCCATTCAGAAATATATTTTCACTTATTTACTTTACCAAATATTATGTTTGCTATGATTTGGATATTGCACTAGTCCATATTGCGATTTCGATACAGTTGTGAATCGTTTGGCAGCCCTTGTTTTGGTATCTACTGTGAAACAATGCAAGTTTCCTCTTTGAACTTTTCCAACATCTGCATCTAACTGTGATCTTTTCCAACATCTGCATCTAACTGTGACCTTTTCCAGAGTCTTCTGAGCAGCGCAGGAACCTTCTGGCTCTTCGCCTCCATGTGCACTGCCAACGTTATCTTCACCATCGCCTTCGTCCCAGAGACAAAGGGCAAGACACTGGAGCAGATCGAAGCCATCTTCAGAGGGACGTCAGGTCCATGAAGGCCCTCCTGCAGAAACACACATGACATAAACTGAAAAGTCCCAGACCTTATATATCTGGGCGGACTAATCCTCAGGACTCTGCGCGGGCATTTAAACTTTTTTTTTCAGTCAGTATGATTTAAAGTCAAATTTATAAAATAATTTTGTTCAAGGATTTATTGGAAAGTTGTTATAACAACTGTAATATGTAATGAATGTCACAATGTGGGCGAACGCGTTACAACGGCCCAAAACACTTCCATTAGGAGTAACGTGTTGCAGTTTTAAAAAATAATGCAAAAAAAACCCACAAATGTGACAAAACACATGCAAATTAAGAACCATCTTCAACTTGACAGCACATGCCCAGCATTTCGAAAACCTTCACCAACTTGAGGAAACATGCAAAGCGTTTACTAAAAGCAGATTCAAAACACTGCAAATAAAAAAAAGCTGTTTCCATTTTGTTTTGAGCTTCTTGCAGTGATTCGTTTGTGCAGCGATTGTAAGAAACTCTGCGTATGTTACGTCAAGTTGGTGAAGATGTTTCTTCCTTTGGATGTGTTTTGGCACTTTAGAATGTTTATATTTACATCGATTTTCAGTGCAGCGCTTTTCTCCTTCCTGTGATTTGGGCCGCTGTCGCGTGTTTGCGTGGATCGGCCACTGTAGAATGCTTTACATATTGCTTTCTAAAGGTGTTTTTTTACTAAATTCAACAGATGCAGTGTCTTAATGTATTACATTGTGTCCATTTTTTTACATAATTTGGTGTTATTAGATAATGTGTTGGTTTTATTGAAATAATTCAGCTGCCTGAGATCATTTTTGCAGGGTGTGGTTTATGAATGAACTGTATTGATTTTTAATGAAGTCTGTTAATAATATTTTGTACATAATGAGTGAGGTGAGATTACACTAAACTCATCTCTAAGCGTTGACCAATCACAACAGAGCCGGTCAGCTAACCAATCAGAGCAGACTGGGCTCTGGTTTCAGACAGAGGGTGAAAAGAGGTGCTGCAGCACAGGCAGTATGAGAAAAATAAAGAGCTTTTTGAACATTAAAGCATGTGAACATGTCGCAGCACAAAATACAAATATGGACCTGACAGTTAGCAAGGTCCCTTGAAACAAAGAATTTTGCAGAATCTTTATCGTACTGATGTTTTGGGAGGCGAATTATTTATGTGACTGGAGTCTGACTAATTGTTAATCTAACCGTAGTTTACATCATCAGAGAAATGAAGTGAAACTTGAACAGATTCTCTAATGCAAAGCTTTTCGAAGCATCTATCAACAACACTGCAAACTCTGTTTTTTTGGTAACTTATGTAATATTCGGCTCTTATTTTGTTTAAATTAAATGTTTTACAATTGTACTTTCTGTTTACAAATGTACTCTGAGTTCAGTCTGAACGGGAGCAAATGAAGCTCTTTGTTGTTGGTGTTTCTTATACCATTGCTATTAAAGAATTTCAACTTTATTATTATTATTATTAAAGGACAGCCTGGGATGCAGAAGGCAGAAAGAATACCCTTTTAAAAATGATGGCAGGATGATCTATCCGTACGAAATACGTGAAATTACAATTCATTTATAACCGAATATTCAACATTAATTTCAGGTGTTGTGTTGAAGGGGCTGAAACAGTTTTGAACCTCTGATTTTCGCTTTTTTTTTACTTTTACATTCTTGTCAGGTATTGTTTTGGATTTCTGATGATTTCTGATTAAATGAGCCACAGTTGGACAAAGAGGCCTGTGTACAATTTCACACTGTTATAGCCAAACATGGTGGTTGTAGTAATATTTGTGTAGCCTACTGCAAAGGACTTTTATAATTTCATAATTGTGAGTAATTAGTTGTATTGACTGGCTAAAAACGAGCTATCTGCATCTGAATCACGCATCACTATTACATTACATTTAGCTGACGCTTTCTCCTTTACAATGGTAAAATAAGACAACAAAACGTACATTTAAGGTAACTTTCCAGCAACACCGACCGATGACCGACTTCAAAACTCCCCGTCAACATGCGCTCCTGGTCCCAGCCGTGTGCATCACTGTTTAGTGTCCCCTTTTTTGTTTTCCTTATGTCCTGAGCTTCTTGCATCGTTATTATTTAACAACCTTTAACGTATGCAGCGTTTCTTAGAACGTTGTTAATGTTCGGCCACCGTAGTTTTACACCTAACGTGATGGCGTCATCCCTGACTTCATTCGAAGACTCCGAAGGGCAAGACGTCATCGATTTATGCCTTAAAGTTTTATGACGTAATGAGCATTTCATCTTCCCTGCAAGAGGCCCACACATCAAGTACTCCCCAGGTGGCTTGGTAAGACTTAGTTTGTTCAGAGAGACTGTAGCTTTTGAAAAAACAGCAAGTAAGAAAAGTAAACAAACGTTAACATTTTACATTTAATTTAAACATTGGGCTAAAAGTTGAATAAATTCCAACTCCAGGAACAACAGCAACTGGAGGTTGCACACACAAAACAACTCAAGGCAGCTTTATATTTCAAGGTGAACCCTTTGCTGCTGAAACTCAATTGTTTAATTTAGACACATTTCTCAAAATGGAGACAATTGAGTATGTTAAAAAAGTCCAGCTCCAGGCGAACGAAGATGCAGTACAATATAAGCAGAAGCTGTTAGCTGAAGAACTGTTCTCACAAAGCCTCAAAATAGAGTCTCTGCAGTCTGAAAACAAGATTCTAAAGGCAACTATTGAAGAAGACAAGGATGTATTAAAAGAGAACCTAGGGTATATTAAGGAACTTCTTTATGAGAAAAAATCTTGGAACAAAAAAGATGGAGATGCAGAGGCAGAGGCAAAAATCAAAAAGCTGCAGCAATCAATTTTCACCAAAGACACCCAATTTGAGGAACATAAAAAAGAACTCATTGCAAAGTATGAGTCTCTCATACGGAGAAACTCAGCAGAGTTTGAAGAAAATGACAGGAGTTTGCTGGCAACGCATGAAAGGCAAATAAGCAGTATTTTGGGAGAGAAGAATGAAAAACAAGATAAAATATTGCAAGAGAAGCTGCAAGAATGTAAAGCCGATGTGTTAAAGGAGACGAACAAAGTAATTCAGAAGGAAAAAGAGCTGGTGAACTTAAAAGATAGAATGGCAGCTGAAATCAAGAACGGTATTTTTCATAAAAGATTAGATGCAAATGTGGAAAATCTTTTGGTCAAGAAACGCCAGGAGGACCTAGTTGAAAGACTGAGGAGCGATGTACTGAGACTACGTGGGCTGCCGGATTTAACTAATGATTTGGCTGAGTCACATAAACAATGCGAGGATCACAAGATGATTATTAAAAGAAAAAATACGGAAATATTAAATTTAAAGAAGGATGAAAAAGCATTGGTAGACGATTTGGCAAAAGAAAAGGACCGCAACCTTATTACAAATCTTAAATTAGAAAAAGAGAAGGAGAAATCCAAGAGTTTGGACCAACAGTTCAGAATCTCTGAGACTGAACACATGAAGAACAAGGCAAGGCTGAGCCAGAACTTGAATGAAAACAAGGTCCTGAAAGGAAGGGTCACAGATCTACACTCTCAACTCAGCTGCTGTAAGCCACTCTTGAGCAAAGGGCGCGTACAAATCCAAGACATGGAGACCTACATCATGCGCTGTAAGGAAGATATACAAGCAGTGGCTGATATCACTGACCCCAAGAAGCTTATTATCGGTGTTGCTCATCTCAAAGCACAGCACGTATGGCGATGACAGAGTGCCAATGGAGGAAAACACGAGGACAGGGTATCGTCATATGGTTGACGGCTTGATGCATCAGGTTAAAGGTTTGGCAAGGGTTCACACAGCCGATGCCAAGCTAGTGGAACGCACCAGGGACGAAGTTAACTGTTTTAATCAAAGAAAGATCAACTTGGATGTAGAAAAAACCAACATCATCAATGAGACAACACACGAGGTCTTGGCACTAAAAGCAAAACTCAGACTCACAGAAAGAAATCTTGAAAAGGCAACAGACACAACACCAAAGAGGGTGGACTCGTGGTTAGATGAAAAGTACCTGAGAAAAACCAGAACTGTTTCAGAGCAAACAATGGTTTCAGAGGAAACATTGGGACACTTCCCCCGAGGGAAAAGGATCAATGTGGGTCTTGAAGACATTCCACAAGCCCACCAGCCACATGAGGATGAAAATGACCTTCCAACTATGTTGTAAGTTGTAACTTGCGTACGGGTTTTCTCCGGGTTTGCTCCGGGTTTCGTCCTGCATCACTATATAGTGCAAAAAAACCTAACAACAGACTGAGTAGATCTGAACTTCAACCCACTCCTCAAAACAGTAATAATAATAACTTTGATTCATATAGCGCCCAAGGACACTTTCCAATTGGAAGGGGGGCCGAGACAAATTTCTCAAAAATGTGTGATTTTGGGCTATATAAATAAACTTTGATGATTGATTGATTGATTGATTGATTGAGTGACTTTGTTCCAGCGATTGATTTGTGTAAGGGACAAAGGTGAAACAGTAAAGTGTACAGTATGTGTTTCTGCAAACATGTCAAGATGAATTTGTTTTATGATTTAGTTGAATAAATACTTAAAAATTGCCTGAAAACTTTGAGCCTTTTCTCATCATTCTGTATTGGTAACAATCATTATCTAAAGGGACGTATTTTGCTTTGAAATACAACGAATAAAATACATACACTACCTGTCAAAAGTTTGGACACACCTTCAAATTTGAAGTTTTTTATTTATTTAAATGTTTTCTACTTTGTAGATTAATACTGAAGACATCAAAGAAGAAGAGAATTGTTTGGGCCAAGAAACACAAGGATTGGACATTAGACTTGGAAATCTGTACTTTGGTCTGATGAGTCCAAATTTGAGATTTTTGGTTCCAACCGCCGTGTCTTTGTGAGACGCAGAGAAGGTGAGCGGATGGTTTCTGCATGTGCATGTTCCCCCCGTGAAGCATGGAGAAGGAAGTGTGATGGTGTGGGGGGGCTTTGCTGGTGACACTGTTGGTGATTTATTCAAAATTCAAAGCACACTTAACCAGCATGGCTAACACAACATTCTGCAGTAGCCAGCATAATATAAATCATATTCTGGATTTTTTAACACTTTTTTGTTTACTAGATAATTCCACATGTGTTCTTTTATAGTTTTGATGTCTTCATTATTAATCTACAAAGTAGAACAAATTAAAATAAATTAAAAACTTCGTATTTGAAGGTGTGTCCAAACTTTTGACTGGAACTGTATATCATTGGACAGCTAATGCTCTCCTCTTTCAAATGGTGTGTATAACTCAAAAAGTGTTTCAGCATTGAAGTGACTGATTTTGATAGAGCAGGTCACATATAATATGCTAGTTTCAGATAAAAGTCATGCATGGCTTACAAAGCAGTAGAAATGCAAATGGGAAAAAGCTAAAATAAAATCTTAGAAACAAAAAATGCTTAATGTAACTTTAATACATAGGCTACAGTTTAGCTCACTCCCACCGATGTATGAATATTTGGCTGAATAAAAGAAAGAATAAATCAACAAAAGAAAGAGAAAAATAAATTCAATTCAGAAAGGCGTATAGATTCAAACCTAATGTATGAACCTAAAGAACAGTATGGCAAACAAAGCAGAAATAAAATCAATGTTTTATTTTTAAATGTATTGTAACATTGTGATCAGCTAGTAAACCGCATTAAAAAATGTACCAGTAATCTTATTACACCTTCTTTATGTAAAGGTAGGGGAATATAGTTACTTTTTTGTAATCTAACCAGGCAATTACGTTACATGTAGGGAGTGGTGCCGGAATTAGTCCAATGAGTCAGCATTTTTCTACTTTCGGTATAGATGAGAGCAAGGCCGTTTCTAGCTTTTTGGGGGCCCTATGCAAAATGCTTTTTGGGGCCCTATTTTGTCAAACTACAATGGGAGGATTACAAAGCCTTTAAGATGATATGTGGAGATGCATTAATCTGTTACACTTTAAGAGGAAAACAGGTTAAATTAACGAAAACCTCTCTCAAATTCAAATTGAACATCTCAAGTTGACCCAAGCAATTGAAACTTACAGAAAATTATATTAAAAGGTAAACAATGAGGCTCCTCTATGTCAATAAATGAAAGAGATGCAGCATTTTCTCAAAAATGTTTATTTTACATTTTTCCTCTTCCTCAAAACTTCTGCTTCCTTGCTTTTTTAGAAGCAAAGTCATCAATAATGTCATCATATGACAGCTGCTTGCCAATCTCATGGTTGATGCTGATTATGGCAAGACCAGTGAGGCGATCCTGTCCCATGCATGACCTCAGGTAGGTTTTGATGAGCTTCAGCTTTGAGAAGCTCCTCTCTGCTGAGGCCACAGTCACAGGAAGAGTGCATGCGATTCGCAGGGCAACCCACAGATTGGGATACAGTTCCTTCAGGTTTTTTTGTGGATGAAAGAGAGGAGCTCCAGTGCAGTCATTTCACATGTAGGCAGGCTCGGCAGATTGGTAATTTCCAGAGCCAGCTCCTTTCCTTCAATGTCACCTCCATCTCCAGTGTTTAATGTGCTGCAGAGCTTGTCACACTGGTTGCACAATTCCACACCATCCAGTTTTTTTAAGTTGAGCAGCACTCCAAATCTGGCTCTCACTTCACCCAGAGTTTTAAATCTATCCTTTAAGGATTCAATAGTTGTGTAAAAACTACATTGAAGAATGTCGTTTCTAGCCTCTTCCTGGCATCTGTAATAGGCTCGTCTG